TTATGCCAGTTTGTGCGTACAGAGCTGACAATTTGTTGAACATGAAAGATGTTTGGCATCCTCGAGTTTGCCAACCTATTTTAAACCTAAATTGGAGCATGTATTATGTTGTTGATGTTTAAAAATATTTTAAATTTTGGATATTGGATATTCTGTTGGACATGCACTGTGATGTTTAACTAATTATTACTAATTTAGTGCATTACTTTTTAAGACTTATTTATCCTTGTTGGATATTGGATATTGTTGATGCTTAAAAATATTTTGAATTTTGGATATTGGATATTCTGTTAGACATGCACTGTCATGCTATTAATGTGCTATCCTTGTTCGGGAGGGGGGGGGGGTGTCATTGTTCCTGTATTGTTTTTTTTTTTAATGGGTTTTGCGAGTCAGTTTGTGCGTACAGAGCTGCCAGTTAGTGCATAATGCTTTTATGCCAGTTTGTACGTACAGAGTTGACAAATTTTTGAACATGAAAGGTGTTTGGCATCCTCGAGTTTGCCAACCTATTTTAAACCTAAATTGGAGCATGTATTATGTTGTTGATGTTTAAAAATATTTTAAATTTTGGATATTGGATATTCTGTTAGACATGCACTGTGATGTTTAACTAATTATTACTAATTTAGTGCATTACTTTTTAAGATTTATTTATCCATGTTGGATATTGGATATTGTTGATGTTTAAAAATATTGTGAATTTTGGATATTGGATATTCTGTTAGACATGCACTGTCATGCTATTAATGTGCTATCCTTGTTTGGGGGGGGGGGGGTGTCCTTGTTCTGTATTGTTTTTTTGTTTTTTTTGTTTTTTTTGTTTTTTTTTTGTTTTTTTTTTTGTTTTTTTTGTTTTTTTTTTTGTTTTTTTTTTTTCCGGTTGTAATGATGTTGGTTCAGCGCAGGTAATGTTGTTTGTCTTTGTTTAATATTTGGACGAGCATTTGTGTGCGTACGGGGTGGTGGGGTGAATGCGTTATAGTATAAGCATGTTATAGTATTGTTATAGTATATTGGATATTGTTGATGTTTAAAAATATTTTAAATTTTGGGTATTGGATATTCTGTTAGACATGCGCAGTCATGATATAAATGTGCTATCCTTGTTGGGGGGGGGGGGGGGTGTCATTGTTTCGTATTGTTTTTTTTTTTTTTTTTTTTTTTTTTGTTGTAATGATGTTGGTTCGGTGCAGGTAATGTTGTTTGTTTTTGTTTTATTATTTGGACGTACGTGTGTGTGTATATGGGGTGGTGGGGTAAATGCGTTATGGTATAAGCGTGTGTGCTTTCTCTTATTATTGGATGTTGGCATGCCGTGTGCGTGTGGGGGGTGGGGGTATATTGGTTGGTGCATTGTCGCATAATCTCCATTTTGTGTATTGATGCAGATTGTGGCCGAGATTTATGCTGAAAAGGCCGATGCTGTAGCTGCAGCTCTTGACGATTTGGTGCTCTTTATGGACCACCATGTTGACCACCCAGGACCGACGGAGGGCTTTCTTAGAGTTGTTGCAGGTGCTCGGAGGATCATCTTGCTTGCTTATCAGTTTGGGTCCACCAGTGGTGCACCGTCCGGTGGTCTGGGAGGGGCTGGTGTGCTGAGTGGTGATGATATCTGGGATAACCCGGAGAACTTTGAGACGGTCGATGCGGTTGTTAGTGCCGTTCAGCAGAAGTCTACTGTCGTTGAAGTCCCACCATCTGATGTGGCGTTAGACCAGCAGGATCCCGTCGGCAGCAGGCAGATGTTGCTGGAGATGTGGGTCAGTGCGTTGAGACTGCCGATGATGCTCCGACTGAGGCGGGGGATGGAGGTGGTATGACCGATGCTGTAAGTAAGGTTGTTCGCCGTCGTAGGAAAAGGAGGCGGTATTAGGTTTGCAGTGGGTGGTCCAGTATGTTTTTGGGGTTGGACTTTTTTTGCTGTTAGGTGTCGGGATTTGGTGTGTATTTTGATTGCATGGATGGGTTGCGTTGTATCGGTGACATGTGGGTAACTATGTATATTTTTTGGTACTGCACGGTGTGTATGCGGGTGTTGAATGGTTGGTGTTATGCGTACATGTGATGTCTATTTACATGTTTTTATTATTGCGTTCTTTCCTTCGGTGTCCAAGTAGGTATGGTGTTTTGTATATATGGGGGAGCTTGTATGACTGTTTTTTTCATTTATTAGGACGATGCATTCCGTCCATCGTTCAGTCTTGGGTTGTCTCAGCAATTTTCGGGTGTGGGTGATGGGTTGTCGCAGGATCTGCCTTCCCAATGTTGGGATGTGGTGGACGCGATTGTTCGTGAGTATAACGCACACTCAACGAATGTAATGCCTCGGGGGTGCTCTTCGGCCCCATGTCATCCAGTAAGTGTGCCTGGATACGTTCCGATCCTTTTAAAATATATTTACTATTCCGTTTATGCGTATACCAGTGGGGTTTACCTAGCATCATTTATCTTTTTATTTTGTGGCGGTAGGTTGGTGGTCCCGGCACTCTTTCGCCTGGTGCTCGTGTTTCCGGTTCTTTGTGCGGTGATGTTCGTGGACAAGCTTTTACAAAACGTCTTCGTCGATGGGGGGTTAATGTTGATGTCGTCACCCTATTCACCCCAAATGAGGTATGTTGTGTAATGGTGTTTACATTTCTCCAATATATGTTATTCTATGTGGAACTATTTTTTTTTTTGTTACACATTGCGGTGTTGGGGGATCGGTTTGCTATGCAGCGTATTCGTCTAGAGACGCGGCCTGGTAGCTCCATAGCTGATTCTGAACGGTGCCTTGCACCAACAAAGCAGTCCCGTGTGCCGTTAAATAATGTTCGCGCGTTGAGGACTCTTGACTTGAATTCGTACGAACGTCGGACACGCTCACGTGTTGTACACGCTGAACATGCGAAGGGACCTGGTGCGCAAGATATTTACGACTGGATTGCTAGATCGGGGCGTGCTGACATGTATTTCCGTTGTGATAACTCCCGTTTTTATTTCCTATTTTGCGTGTGATATGATTTTCCTTATTCTGTTGGGCTTTTATAAACAGGGAAGAGGAGTTGTTTCTTTGGCGTGGTCGGTCAGCACGTCGGGTTGAGTTTGTCTCTCTGGTGGAAGGTAATGAAGTGTTAGTGGGCATATTAAATGCGTGGACTTGTGTGTTATCTTATAGGGAAATGTCAAAGGTTGCTGGTGAACCGTCTAGGCTTTTCGTCTCCACGATGACTACGGTTTGTCTCTAGTTGTCATTTTTTAATCTATTCATTTTCCATGTTCCGTTGTTTAGATTTTGGGTGGTTTTTTGACATTGTAGTTGTACACTGTGGTTGATGTCTCGGCTCCTCGTGGAAGTCGTTTATAGTGGTTTACAGATAGCATGTAGGACGAGTTGAAGTTGTCGCCTTATAATTCATGGGATGATATAGACATGGTTCGTTTACTTTTTGTGTTCATTTGGTGAATGCACATCGGCCATCCTTTATTTTTTAAAATGGGTTTTGTTGCATTTCTTTGTACTGCAGTTTTTTTTCCCCATACTTCAGGCGCACCACTACTATGTCGTTTTTGTGTTTTAAATGTTGGGGGTTTTTTTTGTAGCATGATTTGCTGACCGTTTTCTTTGAGGATGTGGGGGTGATCGCATTGTATATGAATGCTTCAAAATTGGTGCCTCGTAGGGTTCGTTTATCGTGGCGAGATGCAAAGAACAAAGTCGATTGCGGTGTGTTTGTCATGCGTCACATGGAGTGTTATGTTGGGCAGACGTATTCTACATGGGATTGCGGGCTACATAGGGGTGATGCGCGTGCCTTAATAGAATTGCGTGCCAGGTACATGTTCGATATTTTGTTGTTCCAACGCAACATGCATAGAGCCGCAAATGTCGTCCGTGTTAAGAGCTCGATTGCTTTGGTCCGTTGAAGGGCGCTCGGTTGTTTCAATTTTTTTTTTTTTCGCATTATTTCGGATTTCCTAATAATGTGGTGTTAGACGCCTGTCCTCATTTCCCTGTCGTTTGGTGTTTTTTTTTGGATTACCACGTAAACATATCCGTATTAATGATGTTCGTTCATGTTGCATTTATTCTTCTAGCGGATGCACCAATATCAGTATACATGCACATGCGTACAATAAGAGTACACACTGACTTTGATGTTCTTTTTTTAAATCTCCAGATTTTGCGACACTACGCAAATACTAATCTGCCATGCATTTGTTTGATTAGTTAACGAATGGGACCCGACGTTTTTCAGATGATGACCATATCAGTCTATTAATACTTTTGGACACTCATTGTTTATGCACATGCGTAATTTACAGCCACGCACTTTCTTTTTTTTTTTTTTTTTTTTTCATTAATATTTCCAAAATCCATGTGTGGTATTTCGCAGGGGAGTTGTCCGACATCCATGTTCCATCATCGAACCAATATGGTGCTAATCTCACTTTCTCAATAAAGTATTGCATCATTCTCTACGCACATGCATAGTTTGCAGTCACGCACCGGGTTTTTTTTTTTTTTTTTTTTTTTAGAAAATATTTTTATTTTACAGAATCTGAGAGTTGTATTGCACACAAATTAAAGTTCACCCACATCCTTTTGTCCATCAACAAACCTATAAGGTGCTAAACTATCTTTATCAATAAAGTATTAAATTTATTGGTCTCAATTAATGGGGAATGGTGATTGCATGCAAATAGCTTTACACATGGTGCGTTCACGCTCTCTCCATGCCCGCCGTTCATGCATTTGTCGTTGTATTTTTATGTTAGTCTGTTTATTGGAAATTCGTGGTCCAGGTATGGTATTTTTATTGAAAGAAAATGTTTATTAATTCGTAATTCCATAATAACGTCAAAACAGTTCTGCGCAATCTAACATTTACGGATATAAAAATATTTCTATTTTTTGGGGCAGCTTCGACTTTTGTGTCCGGTTGCGAGTCCACATATTTTACATGTTCGCTTCTTCTTATTGCTCTCCTTCATTGCGATTTCTTTAGCTGTCCTCATTCGCTTTCCCGACCCTTTGGTACTTGATACTGCGGGAGGATGCACGGTGATTGTTTCAGGTGTGGGGCACCACAAAATGTCTCTTTGATCGATCGTTTCCCTTTCTCTATAGCCACGTCGTCTTCGCCGTCGATGCACCATGTGGTCTCAATCTCCTTTAGCGCATTGCTTATTTGTTCTAGCTTCGTGGAATCTCCTTGCGCCATGGCTATACACCTATACACTGTGTTCAACACGTTACTTTCTTCTTTATTGCCTCATGATTTGGGGTTGCCACGCTGAAGCGTATCATTGCATGTTTTGATTGGTGAAGTGGTTAGTGCGGTTCGTGTCCACCGGGGGGGGGGGGGGTGATATGTTGTGGGGGTATATCCTCGTTCCTATCATATATTAACACTGCAAACGCGTGGCTGCACAACAGTCCAATCCGGTTGTACATTCGGCACTCACAGGTTGTCGTCTTTGTCCCATGTTCAACGAACACCGTGTATCGTACATCGTGCTCATCCTCGACCTCATATGTGTTCCCGGACTCACCGTGTGTGACACCACGGACCCGGCAATCAAAACATTTGGCACATATCTCCTTCTGCACATCATAAAACACAGTTAATGTATATAGTGAAGCTGCCGCTCGCTCAATGCGCAATTGGGTTTTGTAGGGGGGTGTTTGTGCAATGCTGGCACCGTTTAGCTCGGTTTGTGTTAGGCGTTGCTTTCTGATTGTACTCTCTATCCTGTTAAAAAATTCCGAAACACAAATATGTTTGCTAGTGTTGCTTCTGAAAATCCGGTTCTCTGCTTTAGAGCGTGAAGTTGTATGCAATAGCCTGCCCATAAAAACACCTTCAAAACATGTAGGGATCCACGAAGCGCGCTCGTCGTACATGCGGTTTAGCCATGGATTTTCAATTAGGCCAAATTTTTCTATAACTCCTTTCCATGCAACCTCAAATTTGGTGGTAGTCAAGCTGTCATTCCAAACAACATCATTCAGCTCTCGTCGGAATGCTTCATTTTTGGCTAATTCAGGACTCACTTTATCGCTAACCTTTGCCATTATATGCCACATACAGTAACGATGGCGAGTTTCTGGGAATTCTTGTGCAATTGCAACCTTCATCGCCGGGTCTTGGTCGGTTATTGTGAGTGGTGGTGTGCTTCCCATTGCGTTTCTAAAGTTCTTTAGTATTCAACAGTACGAGTCGACATCCTCTCGCGCAATCAGTGCTGCCGCAAATGTTACGCATTTTTTTATGGTGGTCTATACCGGTGAATGGTACAAACACGAAACTGTACCTGTTTCACGAGGAAATGTGTTAACTACTACGCATATAACACACAGGGTTACATAATGTGAAATAAATATAAATATAAAAATATAACGTATAGCAACTCTAAAAGCCAAGGTTGCATACTGTGAAATAACAAATCCTTAAATTTATTAACATTTTAATGTAACAAATCGTCTGAACCATTCATATCCATAGCAGTGCAACACACATACTGTGGACCGTACACGCACTCCAGTACAGTTTCAAACATGTACACGCACCAACGTTATTACATCCCGTAAATGAGGTGCGTACCTGTTAGTTTTTTACGTAGCATCAAATGACACAACATCTCCGAAAACACTATATTGCTTTCTTGCCATACCATCTGCCCAGAAAACACGTGCCAACTGGTCATTCTCGTTTGCCTCGTATTCGAAATACATATCGTCATAGTCCGACTTCAGATCGAGGTATTTGGATATTAGCATTTGCGCATCTCCTCCTTGCATGTACGCCAAAATCTCCCTTCTATAGTTCTTGAAGTCTTGTTGTGTCGCTCCCACGTTTTCAACTCCTCCCACCATCTCGGCGTACAGGTCATGGCTTTTACTAGCCCCAATATTGACTTTTGAGCAGTTCGCGATGAATTGTTGGTGGCCAATATCTAGTTTCCTGTTCCCTTTCAAGAAAGGTTTGTAACTCTCCTCGCACAAACAATGGGCATGCCCCTCTTCAAACTTCTTGACCACGTAACTTCTCGTACTGTCTCTTCTGAAAACTATTTTGGCCATGCACCCAACTCTGTTAGACGGGCGTCGTCGTTTTGTTTGTGTGGTGGTCTTTTGTTCTGTTGTGGTGTTTGGTTTTGCATCCTTATACCTTTCACGATTGCACACTAGTTTCTTCTTCAGGATGATCCCGTACCTGTTCTTTATGTCGGAACTCTTGCACACATCAAACCCAGTTATGGATGCATATGTCTTGTAGTACGCGATGCCATCTTCCAATGTAGCAAACACCTGCTCGACAGCTGGTTTTATCGATGGGTCACATTTCGTAAACCAAATGCTCGAACCGTTTTGGGATTCATCCATCACACAGTGTTGGCTTTTCCCTCCTTCTTCCATGCTTATGTCACCTGTGTAACGATTCGTATTATTTGTATTGGATTTTAAAACCATACCAGTACTCACGCACCCGCTTCGTATTATTTCAGTCACTACATAGGCTAACAATTAAAAAAAACACAAACAACACATTCGTATGGAATTAAGGCGTCATGCACATATTTACAACATACGATGCACCCACTAAAACAAAACTAAGTATACACAGAGATCACATTTCTGGCAAACCAGTATAGGCATGATGCACAAGGCTAAAGACTACCACGCAATCACCCATATAAAACACAGCTCAGCATACATCGTGGACGACTCATGACAGGCATGGTGCACAAGGCTTCAGACTGCCGTGCACCAGCTACCACAACCGAACGTGACCTCTCCGTATACTGACATATTATCATGCATCAACCAATACCACCGCAATTGAGGCAATACGCACAAAGTAAAATACGCCCGTGCAACCATGAAACCACCCACCCTCCCTTAAGTTATACACGCGTGCACAAACACACATACTCCCACGCATCTACCACATTTAGTCCAATAGGTGCTATACGGCCACATATTTTTACTACTGGGCGTTTGTCCATTGCAAATTAAAGGACAAGTTTAGCTAACCACATTCCGATAACAGATAACCAAAACCAAAAACGTCATCAAGCAAAAATAGAATACACAAATTAAAAAAAAAAAACAAAACAACATTCCCATTCATACGCATCTGTACTGCGGTTACTAATATTCATACTCAGCACCTCACATTCACTTTTGACTCATTATAACCATCAATTTGCTCAACATATTATACTTCCACGCACTCACCAGTACGCCCAAAATTACCCCCAAACGGCCTCCCAAAACGATAGTGGTTGGTGTCTTTGTTGGTTTCCACACTCGTCGCAATCTCATATATACGCACAAACACACATACAATTTGTTGGGTTTTTACTGCTAAAACTTCGTAACGGGCAAACCAATACAAAAACAAATACAAAAAACAGACACGCACAAACCGTGTACCTGTTATGAACACACCTGTGCTTCTGGTATCCATCCTCTTTTTACGCTAGATGTTTGTTTGTGCAACCTCAGCGGTCCGGCTGCCCACATGGAATGTCTCGCGCGTATTTTCTAACCTTCCAATGTGATGTATCACCCCATATATATTTGCTGCATTAATATCCCTTAATTCATGCTTAGCATCCCATAATAATTTTAACCATAATTAGGCCAACATGTACCATTACTGTTAACACCCTTACTTAATGATAAATCTTTATTTTATTCTAGGGGATCTCATGATCTCAACCATTGATTGGGAATCAATCTATGGATATCAAGAGATCTCACAGGATCATCTAATTAGGGGGTGTACCGGATTCGAAGCCTATATATATCTTACATATAATAAAGCTATATGGTTGGGAAATAATTAATGTTACAATTAATTACCAACATTATTATTATTACTAGCTATAAATATAAAATAGCCACAACATCTTTTACTATTAAAAAAAAAAAGAAAAAGAAGCACAACATTTGAAAAATAAAATAGTTATTTTTTTTTCTCGCCCATAACAAAGGATTACATTTATTGAATTAATGGAGTTATTAAATGTTATGATATTAGGATTAAGGATTCCGATTCCCGATTAATAGAAAATAGTTTATTTGAATATGTACATTCTTCCAGTAAATCATGGTGACCCAACTGAACCGAACCATAAAGGCTAGATCGGTGCTCCCCTTCACATTTTGAGAGGTTGCTCCCACACCCCAGCCCGACAGAGCATTTGGGTGGTGACCCATAGCTTGGTGACTCAACTAAACATGAACCATAGGTTGCTCCCACATTGCCGCTGGTGAAACTCGATCCCTGGTTATTCTTCCAAAATTTCACCTCTATGACCAGTTGAGCTACCCAAAGTATTTGAATATGTACATAATTAGAGATTATATTAACCATACAAAATTTTAATTATAATTTTGTATTCTATAAAAATAATAAATACTTGACCAATGGAAGCTCAAAAATATTATTATATTAAACAATTTAAAATATTTTTATTTTTATTTTTTTTATTTATATTTATAATAACATAAATTTTTCCCCGTGCATCGCGCGGGTGAATTACTAGTATATATATATATATATATATATATATATATATATATATATATATATATATATATATATATATATTTAAATTTTTTTTGGATACAATGAAATAATAGTAAAATTGTTACATTAAATGTGATTATAGAAGTGCTCAAATCACCCATAATAATAATTTTAAAGCGAGAAGTACAAACCGATATATGAATCACAAGTCATGATGTCATGCAATCACCTATTAGCTTTCCTAGTGATGCATGTTTCTTATAATTAGGGATGTCAATCGGGCCCGAACTCGATAGGCTAGCTCGATAAATCCGAATTTGATAGGGCTATGATTTAGATGGGCTAGCCCGATAAAAAATATTAGCACGATGAGTCCGAAATTGATAAGTCTGATGGCTCGATAAGACTAGCCCGACATTAAATCGGCTAGTCTGAGAACCCAAACTATTGAAAATTATTTTTTATGTGAAACATAAAATACATAAAATTTATAGGTGAGTTCATCTTTAGTATTTTTTTTTATTACATTTTAAATAAAATTTTAATAAATATATTACAATATAAATTATGTTATATTTATAATAATAAATAACGAAAAGTTAAAAATTTACTTTAAATATTATATTATTTTGTAACTGTGTAAGTATATTAATTATTTTTAGTTCAAATTTAAAAAGTCGATTTATATTAGTTGAGTTATGTATAAGTTTATATTTATTAGTGTATATGTCCTAGTTTGAAATATAATTATAATTTATTTAACATTGATATAATTTATATGTAATAGTTTTATTTTTTCTTTATAATTATAATATATTAAGTTATGAATTTTATAATTTGTGTAGTTTATAACTTTACTTAATTTAAGTAATAAATAAAATTTAAAATAGTTATATATATATATATATATATATATATATATATATATATATATAATTATATTAATATTAATATAACATTACAATTAAACGTAGTAATTAATACTTGTAAAAATTTAAAATAATAATATGACTATGTTATATATAAATAAAGAGCAAATTTCCAATATGGTCCCTCGACTATGTTGATTACACCAATTTCATTTTACTCATTTTGACTTCGCTAATTGCATCCTTCCACTATCAAAATTTTAACCGTTTTAGTCCTCTTGTGATTAGACCGCAATTTTTTAGGGGTATTATTGGAAGTTCATTGTGCATTCACCATTTTCATCCCACGACGACGACGTAGAAACAAAAGATGGTTATACCACATTCCCAGCTATCGCAGCCGGAGGCGCCAACGGGATTGGCTGTGCGCGGGTGTCACCTAGGGACCTGGAACGGTCTAAGTCAATGCCGGAGAATTTTGACGTGCCGGCGATTGGGAAGTTCTTTCGGGAGAAGAGTTGCAACTTATTGGAGGCCATCACTAGGCGAATATCGTCGTTGAGGGAATTGCTTGAGGACAAGAAGGCGAAGTCCGATTACAAAGTGACGGAATTCAACCTCTCTGGCCACAAAGTGATCGTCAACTTGACGCCGGAGGATGAACATGGGACGCGGCTCCACGGAAGAGTGGCCTTCTTCTCACGATCCAATTGCCGAGACTGCATTGTATTGCCGTCCGATTGTTCCTGCGCGAGAAAAGGCTCAATTTTGCGAAAATCAACGTCGACGTGTATTCGGAGAGAGAGAAGGAATTAGTACATAGGACGGGGAGTGCAACTGTGCCGCAGATTTTCCTGAACGAGAAGTTGCTTGGAGGACTCGTCACTTTGAATTCGCTATGGAACAGTGGAATGCTGGATAAGAAACTGGGTGAAATGTTGTCCAAAAAGTGTCCGGATGATGCGTTGTCGCCTCCTATCTACGGATTCGATGAACCTGAGGACCGGAGGGACGAGATCGCGAAGATTATGAGAGTGGTGGGGCAAAAGCTGCCGATTTAGGACCGGTATTATTGGAAGTTCACTGTGTGGACTGTATGGTCCATACAATAACCACCTATAGCTCAGGTTGAAATCGAGCTTTCTGGAAGAGCTTTTCACTCCGAAACCATAATCCCGGCGGTCGCCTCCTTCGCTGTGTTCAGTATTATATGAGCATACGCTGGCGTCGGAGAAGGTGAAGAGGCGGCGGCGGACATAGTGGGTGTTGAGGAAGGTTGTGGAGGCAGAATATCTCAGCGAGTTTGAGCATGGAGTTGCCGTTTTTACTTCTACGTCGGAGGAGGAGGACGAAAATGGTGAATGCATAGTGAACTACCAATAATACCCCTAAAAATTGTTGTCTAAGTCACAGGAGGACTAAAACAGTTAAAATTTTGATAGTCGAATGATGCAATTAGCGAAGTCAAAATGAGTAGTACGAAATTGGTGAAATCGACATAGTCGAGGGACCATTTTGGTAATTTGCTTTATAAATAAATAAATAAATAAATAAATAAATAAATAAATTTTATATATATATATATATATATATATATATATATATATATATATATATATATATATATCAAGTGACCACCACTTCTTAGGCGTGAACTACGAACGACAATATAAATGCACACAATAATATTCCAAGCAAACAATGCACATAATCTACCCTAGAGTAAATTTTGTACATTCATGTTGGTTCTCACGTTGTCTCCTATGGGTGGTTCTCATTTGATCATTAATGTGTGTGTGTGTTATATAATTATATAGCTATATAATGTTTGTGAATGATTTAAATAAACATATTGTTATACAAAAAAGTTTAATAAATACCTTTAGCATTTAATTCATCTTGCTAGGTTAAGATTAATAAAGGAGAAATTAAGAGTTTAATTCTTACTATTAACATTACTTTTAAATTCTAATGCAAAAATACTAACACATTTAAACTAATAAATATTT